CACAATTAAACAATGCCCCACAGAGACCCCCACTGCCCAGTGACCTGACACACACAGATCTCCCCCACTGTCGAGCACCCCCCAACAGGCCCCCACTGCCTAGCACCCCAAGACACACAAACCTCCCCCACTTCCCAGTGCCCTCCACACCCTCACAGCCCAGCACCCCACCACAGACCTCCCAGACACTCACTGCATCACGCCCTGCCCCCTTCCCTGGCTGCACTCACCAGCTCTGCTGGGAGATCTCTGGCTCCTAGGGTCAGAGTGGCAAGGGTGGGGGGGTCGCCAGACTCTCCAGGTGCTGCGCCCGCCACAAGTGCAAGCTCCATGGCTCCCATTGGCTGGGAAAAGCTCCAATAGGAGCTGCCAGAGCTGCGGAGTGGGGCTTGCAGGCGCTGGCAGCGCGCAGAGACCCTAAGAGCCAGCAGGTCCCTCTGGCTCCTAGGGTCGGGTCAGGTCAGGGGGGGAGGGGCAGAGGGCTCTCTGCCCACTGCTGGCACCTGCAAGCCCCACCCCCGCAGCCCTGATTGGGCAGGAGGGAGCTGGTGCAGCACACTGAGACCCCCTCTGCTTCTGTGCCTAGGGGCCGCCCGCATTACAGGCTCCTGCTGGCAGGCGGGCACGCCGCCAGGAGCTGCCCCAGGAAGCATGGCCACGCCAGCCACTGGACTTTGGTGGTGATGGTGAGCAATCCCTGATATCAGGACAAAGGGCGTCCCTACCGATGTGCAGTCAGGACGCGGGACAAACGTGCATGTGGTGTTTCGCTGTGTGGGTGGGGTTTAGGATCTGTGTGTGCGTGCACACGCGCACAGCTTAGAGGGAACAGTGCACAGTACATATTTTTGTTAGTCCAGAAGGTGCTATTTTACCCTTTATTTGCTTGGGAGTTTTAGTAATAAAGTTTTATGCCTCGAATAACTCTTCTTTGGTTTGTCCTTTGTATGCTTGTCTGAATCATTTGGCCTGGTTCTCCTAAGGACAGTTAAGTAGGAGAGATGAAACCTTTTGTAGCAGATCAGATATTATGAACTTCAGTGCAAACTGTGCAAGAGGGTGCTAACTAGAATAGTGGAGACCTATTTCCCATGGAGTCCTGAAAAGGGGAATGGAGCTATGGTTAAAAGACTGAGATTTGTTCATGATGAGTTGGGGTGAGAGAGGAATTGTTGTGGTTTATCACTATGCAGATGAGATTCAAAACTGGAAGGAGGCGCTTTACTCAGAATGTACAGAATGCCTTTAAGCTACTTGTTTTGACATTGATACAATAGTGTGTGATGCATTAGGTTTGATAAAAGACATGGTATTGGATCAACCCTCCTGGAGAATTTGTGCTTTTGTCACAGGTGATTTTTTTTGTGAGGAAAGAATTAATTCTTTTGTATTTTAAGCTTACTGGTTGTATTTTATGGAGAAACCAGAGGCTCCTGCAACCAGAGGAAACTGTAGTCCAAGTTTATGTTGAAAACATAGCAAAGGGTAGGCTTGCTGAGAAAGGCTGGGGCTGCATATATGCATATGATTTCTTCCTGGCTTGTAGACTGATAACAAGGCTTGCTTCTGATGTTGTCATAAAGTCCTGTGCCTTTAGATCAAAAAAAAAAAAAAAGGGTTTGAAAAATTAATAGATTTTCCCTTCAAGCATCAGCCAACATATGTAGACAAGTATGAAATATGCATGCTTGAATGAAAATCTCTGACACCACCACAACCTTAGAGCCGTCCACCTCAGAGTGTTAGTACATTCATATTGTGTCAGGCTGGAGGATCTGTAACTCCACTAAAATATCTATGGAAATTTAAAAATATACTTTGTGAAATATTTTGAAAAAACAAAGGATGCATTCAGGTAAATTAAAATGACTAATTTCAGGTGATAGGAGGAAGGTGAAGAAAATTCTGCCACCAAAATCTTAGCTCACCTGTTTGTGTGCAGATGTTGCTTTATATGTGATACCTAAGATCAAGTATTGTGAATCTTAAACTCCTTTCAAATTACAGAGTTAGCTTGGAATTTACTTTCTTTAGCAGGCCAAAGTCAAACTTTATTGTTGTTTCAACCTAGACTGCTAATGTAACGTATGTACATTATGTGCATGCACATGCATGGAATGCATGATGGAGCAGTGTGCTATACAGGTATTTATTGGCATGAATTTGGGATCATTGGATTTCTCAGGAGTGGCAAAGACATTTGTGAGTTTTGCAGCTCACCTTAAATGAGTGTCCATAAACCTTTTTACCACAGCATGCTAAGGTTTATTCCGGATACACTATATAGATTACAGGGAAAAAATAAAATGTTCAAAAGTTTAATTTTTTTCATTTGGACTATTTCTTGTATCCCTCTCTCTGGATAGATAGATGCTTTAGTTACCCTGCTTACCACTGCAGAGTCAGAGGGAGGAAAAACAATTGAATATGTATCAATAGAAAATCACCTAAAATATCTTTAAAGTCTAATATAGTGGATTCTTGTCACTTTGGAACAGGGGAAATCTTCCTTTCCCAACCCTATAGAGCTCGTTGTTCTCTCTCTCAAGGATGAAAGATACCAGGCTTAAAGCCATGACATTCCTGTGCTAGAAAAGCTGTTATTAGCCCAAGCCTGGATCTTGCCATCCTCGACTTGGGGCCTGGGTAATTTTGGAGAAAAATTCCACATTTGAGGTGGGAGGGGATAATGAGGAAACATTTCCCTGGCAGGTTAATTTAATAATATGACATCTGTTCCAAGCTGCTGAGGGATCTGGAGGGAAAGAATAAATTAAAGGGAGTTTATGCATAAATATATTCGCTGTAAATCAAACCTCGAAGGCCCTCACTAGGCTTTTGTTCAGGCAAAACTCTTCTGGCCTCTGTGTTTTTTACCTGAATACGTACTGAGCAAGCCTGAACAAGAGCTTCAGGATTTGGCCCCAAATATTTTTTTTCTTTAATAGGTCATAAAGACAACAAAGTCCCCACAAGATGGCACCCTCTGCTTACACTGAGTGTCCTTTACCAGAGAGTCTTAGACGTATTCCGGTATTTCTCTATATCCAAACACAGTTTGGAATTCATTGGAGAAGCAAGATTAGAAGTTTTAATAGGTTCACCCCAACATTATCAAGGCAACCCCTAATCATCAGAATAAGTAGCTATTCTTTCCCCTTAGGAAAAAACACCCACCCATTGACTCTTATAGAATTATTTGGTCATTTAAGTTTTAGATTTTTTAATTATTTGCCGAATGCCAAAGGACTATTTCAGTATTTAACACAGTGTTTATAAAATAATTGTGTTTTCAAATGTTGTATCATATATTAAGCCTTTCCGTAATCGCACAGCTTATCATTTTTAAGGGAATACTTCATTCAAGTTATAGTTCCTGAACCCCCGGGGAAAAAAAAGAAATCTTTAATGATCATAATAGGATTGTAATTGTATGTTTTTGAGAAATCGATTTGAGCTCAAATAGCTCATTTAAACATGTTTCACCAAAACCATTGAAATAGGAAACAGGAGGACTAAATTATTGCTGCTTCCTGAATTCTCTGCTGATGAGCCAAATAATTAAAATGTACTGTAATGGCTCCTGCAGTCTGTATTTCTTTGGGTAATTCTCGGAAATGAATCTGAATTTCTACAGTAGAGGGGGAGCAAGAAGATCATCGAAATATCAAGAGGGTTGGAAGCCAGACGGTGGTCTTCCCACAGCGCTTCCATGCCTCCACGTCATTTTCAGTAAAATAATATCGGTGGATTGAGACCTCCCAACGGACGGATTCCCTTAAGAGTCCCTCAGCAAATGAACTTTTAATGGAAATCCTCTCTCTTTTCCAGTCTGCCTCTGCTGCTCTGCCAGGAGCTCAAATCGCAGACACAAGACAGGAAGGAAAAGGGACAGACAGTGAAAATTAGACCTGCAAAGTAACATGTACTGCGCTCCGTTCTTGTCAGTGAGAAGTGAATCAGGGCTTGCGAATTTTTAATCATTTCAGTCCTCTAATGGGGATGCTTGCGGCCGAAATTAATATGCGATATCATCAAACAAAGGACAGTCTCGGACCCTGTGGCGTGGTTTCGCAAATAGTAAGGGATGTTTTCCAATCCCGCGCATAGAAAAATATAATGACACGCGTAGAAGGGGCTATAGCTTGCTGTAAATATTTTGTTGCTACAGTGATTGTGAGATATCATGACGGTACAGGCTGAATTATGGCATTGCTAATGTTCCTCTACCCATCTGGGAGCGCTGTATAAAAAAACAAATGGTGAAAATGTTATTCCAAGTCAGTCTTTTGGTTGCCACATTTCCCAGGTTCAGCACCGCAGAGTTTGGACAGCTCCACACTGGGAGCCTTCAGCTAATCAGTCCACCCACCAGCCAGCAACTGTCAATTACAAACTCTAATTAGAAAATTACTGAGAAGCCTCCAAGACTTCAAACAGCCTTTATAACAATAACAACAACAGTAACAACAATAACGTATTTCTTTATTTAATTGCCCCGTTGAAGGGAACATATGCACCACATTAGAATCCTGGGCTTTGCCAAACGAATTTATGTAGAAGTTATCACATCAGAGCTCATCCTTTCAAACAGATCTGCTCTGTGGTTCGGCTGCTGAGACCACCCTTGAGGATGGGGTCTGTAAAAAGCCTAAAATTTCCTCAGCAGCTTCTTATCCCTCCCCACAACTTGAGTCAGAGAGAACTTGACAAGCATCAAATCTTCTAGACCTCTGTGTGTGTAAAAAAAAAAAAAAAAAAGAAAAGAAAAGAAAAAAAAGTGTGAGTTAAAGTGTTTATGAGAAGCTTATGACTCTCGATCAGATCATCCGCGAGGACGACACAGAATTGTTATGTTCCTTGAGGAATTGGGGTGATGACGTCTTTTCTGATACCCGATTATTACGTGACTGAAAAAAAAAAACCTCATTTGATTCCTGAATAAAAATCCGAACGCCACAACAGTGCAACAAACAATACTGCCGCCCTTAAAGGTAACATGCAGACCGATGTTTACAAAGAGGGCTCTTGATAAAGCAGGGGGGTTGCAAAGATTTTGTTGCTAATTGCATTAAAAAATCGAGCTGCGGAAGGCTGGTCAACTTTGGAGGCACAGAGAAAGAAGAAGGAGAAAGCTGCAGCCGAAGCGAGAAGCATCTCAGTGAAGGAAAAGATCTGGGGAAGAGAACATCTCACTGCCAGCAGCTCCAGAACAGCCTGCTTCTGCTTCCCGTCTTCTCTCTCCCTCCCTGGCTTTCTCTTCCCCGGTCTTGTGTTCCCTTCTCTCTTTCTCCCTTCGGTCTCCTTCCCTTCCTCCCTCTTTCTTGCTCTCCCTTCCCTGACAGACTCCACTCCAGATCCGTGCTGCCTGCTACCTACAAACTTTTTGGAGCGGATCCCCTTAAGCCAGCAGACAAGTAACTGCCGCTCTTCTGCCTTCGGCTGCTTTGCTCGTCAGAGAGGCGATACCACCAGAGGTTTAACTATTTCGGCTGCAACTTGGGAGACAGTTTTTTGTTTTTGTTTTAAATCTACCCTTTAATTGCGCAGCCAAACGCTCTTAGTGCCGGGTGTTAAGAGTTTGATGGTAAGGAAAATGTATCTCAGGCATCTCAGCAGCTTTAACTGGAGAGATCGGGTTTCGTTAGCCCAGGCACTTTGTGTGTGTGTGCGCGCGCGCGCCTGTGTGCTGGGAAGTGGGGGTTGTGTCTGGTTGTAATTGAAGACGCGGCTCCACACAAATCGCGCACACGTTTTGTTGTTGTTACATCGAGCACACTTAAGACTTGATTTCTAACTGGTTAGATTTTGCTCGTGGCAAAGCTAGAGGGGAAAGGGAGCGTGAGGGAAGCATTTTGACAGCTGCTGTTTCTTTCTTCCCTGATACACAGAGTGGCAATGTGTAGCAAAGCGATCCTAGCGCTACTGGTCTATGGGATAATAATGCACTGCAGCGTCTACTGCTCACCTGCTGCTGGATTTCAATACCCTGCGCTAAGGTAGGTGCCTTCTTTATCCCTCCCTCTTCCCAGTCCCTGCAAGACTCGCATCCCTGGCTGTCCTCGTCAGTTATGTCCTTGCATCTTGGTAATAGAGAGCAGAGAGCACTGGCAGGTAGTTGTCTCCCAGACTCTGTGTGTGTCTGATAGCTTTTACTCTCCCTCTCTTGCGAACGGAGTAACGCTCTTCCGAGCAATGAAAAGCACCCAGAAAGAAAAACTAAAGAGCAAAACCCCGTCGCCTCCTATTTACCGACTCCATCTACCCTCTTGGAGAGCGGGGAAAAGAGACTGGGGACTGAGGCTGCTTGATTAAAAGTCCAATTTAGTTCCTGTGGCAGGGAAACTAGAATAGATTCTTATGTTCGCCAGGAGATGGAGGGTTTAATGGACTGGCCCCTTTCTTCCATCAGGGCTTCTTAGCCAGGAGGATCTTGCGCTGTATTATTTCCTACACACGCGTGCCTTACTCTTATCCCCTTTTCTCCTAAATAATAGGGAATAGCTCTGACTTTGGTCTTGGTGAAAGTATTCGATTTCTGTTAACTGGGGTCCTGAATGAAGCATGGTTCTCAGAAGCCAGCGTAAGCCTTATAGAAAAAAGCTGATTAGCCTTTTAGTGGATCCATTTTTCTATATGAACTACAGTGCAATAACAAATAATATATATATTTCCGGCCACCTCTGAGCCTAACTTGAGTGGCGATAACCTGCGAAAAAGGAGTTGACAGGTACTTCCAGAATAGACAGTACCTAGATGAAAGCATTTTGAAGCATACAGTTAGAAAAATATTTTAATGACACATTTCCGGCAGAAGGGTTTACCAGCTATTAAGGAATATGTGTAGATATAGATAAAACTTAGTTTTACAACACATATAATAGCTCTCTATATTCTCTCTCTAATATAGATCTAGATATGTTCCAGAATTAAGTTCCTGTATCATAGCAGGGTAGAATCTGTCCCCACCCTGTGATATTGGTTAAAGTACTTTAAGTACTATTTTCCAGCTCTTTTTTTAGAAGTTCGCTGGATGGGAGAGGGGGGCTACTGTAGTACTCAGGGCTGGGCAGAGTGTGATCCGGCTCACTCTTCCTGAGATCGGTTCAGGATTCCGTAAGACGCTCTCGCGCTCACCAGATTCGGAGCAGGATTGTTAAGACACCGGAGCAGAGCTGCCAGGATTTCAGAACTAGCTTCACCTATCGAGCCGAGTGTAGGGGCAGCCCCCAGGCCAAACCTATATAACAAAGGACGACTTCCCAGCACTTTATAGCAGGGAGTGAAGCTTTACACAGCGGCAATCAATCAACTTCTGGCTCTAGCCTGCTGTAAATCTGGCTTCCCTTAACGAGCAGCGCTTCTTACAACAGAAGAATGGGGGAGCTTTCCTATCCACCCATCTTAGCTCCCTCGGAAAATTATGCAGCTCTATTTATTCCGCCCATTAAGTCCCACAGGGGACACGCTCGTGGTTCAGCACTAATGTGCGTGCAACATCTGAACTGCGAAACTCACTCTGGAGCTCATGTGAACGGTCGGAGCTCGCCCTTGGGTGCGGGGCAGCACACGCTCCGGAATGGTCTTAAACGAAGCAAAGCGTTACCCGGGGCTTTGGGATTCAGGTCAGCCTCGCCGCAGGGCCCCCGGATGCCAGAGCCGGGGGGAGCCGTCCCCGTATAAATGGCCAGTCCTTCCAGAGGGCGTTAGGTGGGGTGAGAAGGGCCATTGGTTTGAGTGGACCGGGCTCGGTTCATTGAAACGCCTGAATTAGCAAGAGCGAAACACTTTACACGCATCTATTATTAATCTCCCTGCCAGAGCTCGGAGACAAAAATAGCTGCCTGAAACGCTCAGTGACCTACATCTTGCCGCAGAGAGAGAGAGGGGGAAAACAAAACTCAAGCGATCTTCAAGGACAGAGACACCATTCAACGAAAAACACAAACAAACACAAGCCCCACCCCGATCCCACTTGGTGTGAGAAAGGAGGAGCAGTCATTTGCTAACGGCAGAGTTTCTGATCTCTCGGGGGGCCTGGAGGCGGGGTGGGTGGGGGACTAGAGAAAGCTGGTGTCTTTCAATGGGAAGTGCTGTTTTTCTCTCGCTTAACTTATAGCCCCCCTCCCATGCGCCTGGGTATGTAGTTTGGAAAGCGATCAGGATTCGTGCTGGGAGAGGTGGGTAGTGATCAGCTGCTTACTTGGCAGCCCCTGGACTTGTTTCTGGCCCCAGCCTCGCAGCAGGTTGGTTTGCTTGTGTATTTCTCTCGCGCCTGGCCCTATACTGATGCGGAGGCGGGGGAATGAAGTGAAGGGGCGGGGGGTAGAGGGGTAGGTGTAATCTTGTCTGTGGGCTCCTCTAGCAGGGCCTTCAGTCCAGCCTCGGAAGTGCCCATGTTAAAACCCACTAGATCCCTGGCAGAGGAGTAGCCCTTAATAACAGTGATCAAATACTCCTATGTGTAGGATTTCTCAGGAGGCGTCTGAATTCTTGCCCTTTGCTTTCCGGGCTAGGCTGGAAGATGAAGTTTATGACGAGGATGGAAACACGCTGCAGGATTTCGCCTTTGACAACGACCCCCTTGGGATAGCGAACCCATCATCCATGATAGACGACATGTACACCCTGTACTACCCACCGGAAAAGAGGTGATTATGGGATGCCCTTGGTGGGGCGCATGACTTGAGCTGGAGCAAAACGATCCTTGTCCATCCCATTCAAAAGAGCCGCCCCAGATCTCTCCCTCCGTGCCCTGCCGCCCGAATAAAGGCTCGAGCAGCTTAAGAGCGTCCCTTACCTCCCGGCAGGCGGGGGAGGGGGAGGGAAGCAGGCTGCCCGCGGAAGGGCTAGGGATGGCACGCCGTGAAACGCACCAGACGCGCCAGGCGAGCGCTGCGCTCAGGAGATGAGCCGGGTGGCTGGGAGGGCCCTGCTGTCCCTGGGGGTCCTCAGGCGGAGGCCGCCCTCTGCACCCAGGGTAAATATAAGCCACCTGCCAGCCAGGGGCTTCCTTCCGCCATCCCGCCTTGGAGTGAGGGGCTGCTGAGGTCCGGTCCCCAGGCTCGGACACTGATCTTTCTTTCTGTGTTTAATCTTTGTTTCCTACTTAGGCACGCCGATGGGATATTTAACAAAGCCTACAGGAGAGTTCTGGGTCAGCTATCCGCTAGGAAATACCTACATTCTTTGATGGCCAAACGGGTGGGGTAAGATTTGTATTCGTTGTTTATTTCACTTAAGGCGAAACCATCTTTCTATTAAACCACGTGTAATGTACCACCGGTGTATATTTGTTACGCTCGCTCTGTGGTTGGTATTTCGCGCACTAAGCAACACACCCCTCTTGAAAATGTCAAAATCCACGAGGGTTTTTGCTCGATCTCATTCTCTGACTCCAAGTGAAAGGTGCAGTGAAAAACCCAGATGGCTAGTTGATGATCAAAATCTGGTCATTGTAAAGAAAGTCCAGTAGCCCAAAGATTCAGGCGATAGCCGGTGGGAAGAATCGCAACAAGAGATCCCTCGTAAGTGGAGATCTGGGTATTTTAAGAGAGCTCTCCATTGTAAAGAGTAGAATTCACCACACCACAGTGTAGCGGGGCTTAAACAAAACGCGTTTAAAGTCAGACATCCTGGCACGCGGCAAACCCAGTGTAATGAAGATAATTTCGGCAGAAGGTAACATTTTAATAAAGCCCATGGGGAAATAGATTTCATTTTCACAATGAATAATTCATGGCATGAATATATTGTCTCCTGACTGTCGGCGTATATTATGATCAGATTTCAACCTCACCGCGTGTTTAGATAGATTCTTGTTTCGTTCTGCCTCTCTGATGTCTACATGTTGCTTTAGTTGCTTCATCCCCCTCCCCCCCGCCCGCCCCAAATCGAACAGCTTTGGAAAAATAAACAAAACGAATACAGCTTTCCCTAAGTGACAAATCATCATCAGAATCTGGAAAGGTTAAAGCAGCCCGGGGGCTACCAGAGCCAAAATGCAAAGCGGGGAAGGCCTCCAAAGTGCAGGCAGGACAGGGGAGTGGCTCCAGATGTTGCAACTGTCCTTTGCTTTGCAGCGGTGCCAGCGGCCTGGAGGACGACTCGGAACCGCTCTCCAAACGGCACTCGGATGGCATCTTCACAGACAGCTACAGCCGCTACCGGAAACAAATGGCTGTCAAGAAATACTTGGCAGCGGTCCTGGGGAAAAGGTATAAACAAAGAGTTAAAAACAAAGGACGCCGAGTAGCGTATTTGTAGCGCTGAGTAACCCACCACTCCTGTGTATACAGAGCCCCCCCAAAAAGAAAAACAAAAGTCATTTCCAAAGTGACTGAACAATCACCGCTCCTGTGTTATCTAAACATGTATTTATGTATGAAGTAAAGCCATTAAATGAATATTTTGATAATAATATTGTTTTTCTTTTTGTATAAAAGCACTAGAGAAACGCACAGATCTACTTTGTGGACCAATCATTAAGTTATATATAATATATAAATATATATATATAAATACGGCTGATAGAGAACAATTCTTCATATAAAGCCTGCACAAGAACAAAAAAATCGCCTGAGCTGTTTATGTTTTTATATAAAATAAATAGAAAAAAAGACAATCATTGTTTGAATATTGCTCCTATTTTTGTAAGTGAAATTTAAAGGAGAGTATTTTTATCCACGACAGGGTCGAAGACATTAATAGTCACCATTTGCTACTGTACATAGACACTGATGCCCTGCTACAAGGGGGTTATGGTGATAATGATTTGGAAGAATTGCTGAAGCAGATTCTTCTCCCCAAGGAGTCTCAAGACAGGCTCCTTTACCACTAGCCTATTTTAAGGGGGCAGTGCCCCCCTCCCCCGCGAAAGATTTCAATTTTTCTGCTTTCTTTGATTCCACTTTTATATGCATTTGTGTCTCTCAAACACTGAGCTTAGAAGATAATTCTCCTGTGGTGAAACAACAGCTCTGTCAAAATTGTGCACCTCTGACAATTGGAGGGGAAAAATATTTAGCCCCATTCATGGTTCTTCTAACTGATTGGGCATAGCTACATTACAAAGCCAACCGGAAATTAGAGCTATTGGAAACCATTTGAAATTTCGATACTGGAAGCGATAGCTAGAGCACAGATCAGAGAGGAGGTGCCCCTAATGAATGCGTGGTTTTAGGCTGCCAGAGGGTCTGGGGAACATGAGACAATTCCACTTTAGATCCACTACCCGACTGACCGTGGGTAGCTCGGTATTGGAACTTGATGCAAAGTATAATGTGTTACTCTCCAGTGCTGTCCATGCCTCTCATCATGTGAAATGACTAGGATTCTCTCCTTTGAATTTTTCAAGCGGAGTTGCTCCTTTCCTTTGTTGTTTTCTTGTGGACCCTTCCTCCTCCCAACCTGTCTTGCACTATTTAAGCACGGTTACCCATCTGAGTCACTTCTTCTTCTTTTCAATTTAAGGTTGTGAACGCCTCTCACTCTTTTGTTCTGTTTGATGCAAGCTCTTATTGTAAAAGTTTAGGAACCCCTGTTGTAGCTACCACTAAATAATTATGCACTACAACTAAAGTTTTGTTCTTGTTTATTGAGTTTGGAGGTAAAATGTATTTTTCTACATTATGGCTTATTGCTTAGTAAAATTTATTTCATAAAACAAACTTTTGTCATAATAGAATGTGTAGTGTTCACATGCGGGTGAGTTTCTAATAACCGATGAATCATTTCAACCTCAGCTTTATATGTACGGATTCATAGCTTACCTTCTGGGGGAAAGACAAACCAAACCAGCCCGAGGGAACTTTCCATTCCTTCTTGAAAGGTGACTAAAGAGGACATGTACGTATGTTTCCTTTCAGATCCCAAAACATATTCTAGAGGAAGCTTTTGAAGGCAAATAACCAGCCCTAAATTACTGTCTTCGGTTGCTTAAAAAGAAAAGCCACTTGTACAATTTAAAAGACTTTTCATTTTCCTTTACCAGTCTGATCCGCGTGAAGTAATAAATCAAAGGAAACAGAATTGAGTTTGGAATCCCAGGCGGGATGGCGAGTGCCAGCAGAGCTTATTGCAAACAGTGCTAGGACAGAGGCATTCGATCTATGCCTGAGAAGTGTGTATGAAATCAATCTTACTTTAATTTTGCATTCTCCTCAGGCAATGTGACGCAGGATGCAGTTTGCAGCTTTTCGTGCCTTTCTTCGCCTTTTAAATCGCCACGAATTCACAGATGGCTATTTAGTGGCCCTACAATGCTGCAACACATCAGCTTGCATTTTAGTCTTAATGATTTGTTCTTGGATAATCGGCAGACGTTGCTGTATTTGTGTCAGCTGTGGTATAATGAAATAGGGCTCTATTGACGTTTTATTTATGAACTATCATTTCCAGTTCAGTGGCTAGTTGCAAGCATTATGAAGTGATCACATAGGTTATCCTCTGTATAATTTTTAGAAAAACCAACAGCCTTACTAAAACGGAGCAGATTTGAGATACAGTGATAATTTAGGTAGATGTTAGTCTTGCAGATCTTATTTTGTGTGCAACTGAATATAAAAATAACTTAAAGTATTATTACACACATGATATATATAACTAGGACTTTGATAACTGTTATATAAAGTGTGTAAAGTTTGTATTAATAAATTTTTGTAAACAATGCAACTTTGTCTAATGTTTGGGGGAGAAATCTAGCAGTTAACAGCGAAAGCTGTATTTCATTTAAAATCTATTTAATTAGTTTAAATTTAAAGCAATATTTTCTAACATTTTTTATGTCTGGAATATCTTTTTTTTTTATTAAGCCTTTACATATTTTCATCAGATGTCCTCTAATCTTTTATTGATGGGTTACTTCTATATTCAAGTAGACTAAAAAGTAATTACTGAAGTAGAAAAATCAAGCTTCATGCGCACTAGATAAATAAGCTTGCCTAAAATTTACAGACAAAAACCAGCCAATGTCCTAGAATAGCCTTTCCCCCCCAAAGTATTTAACAATTCCTATACTTAGGAATTGCTTATACTTGCCAAACAGGAAAAGCTTAATGGAACTTTCACCTAAACTCCTCCAATGAACATTCTGGTACACAAAAATATACTTTGTAATATTACTTGTCTTGGGGGAGGGCAACACCCTTGTACTGGGTTTAAATTATACCAAGTGAAAACTTGGCTGTACTAAAATAGGTATACTGTAGCACATGAAGAGTTAATTAGGTTTCTTAAATAGAAATGTATCTAGTAGCTATATATAAAAAAGGGTATTTGCAGGCTGGTTTGTCAGTACAAAGTCCACTCAGAAAATTCTACAGGGAAATCTTCAGTTAAACGTTTCAAGAATATCTGGAAAATGCTGACATCACTTTGTGCATGCCTATGATCATTATTGCTATAGTAGCTCAGGGATCTATTGAGGTCCCTTCCAGTCCTATATTTCTATGACTCTCTGACTGTACTTAAATATTTTGGGAAAGGCCCAGCAATTTAGTTTAAATTTTTCTATCTGAGAACAAACAAATGTGCTGTTCAAACCTCAGAAGGGTCACTTAAATAAAAAGTTTAAGCCACAGGAATACATTACAAAGTCCCAGCAAAATTTTAAAAGGAATCTCCAAGATTTTTCATTTTTTTAACCATAAAGCCAGTGCCTATAAAAGATTTCTTAGATCCTCTGTGTCCAGTGTCAGTTTTACTCAGTTTACAGGTTAGTTTAGGCAACAACATGTCACTAATAAACAGGAAATACTGAGATAATGTAGACAAGATGGTAGTGTCAATATTTTAGCACGAGGAATGGCTACAAGTATGATTTTTTCAGATCTCAGTCATAGGTCAGGGACAGAAATGCAAAGGAAAATGCAGTTTATGAAATTGGTTTCTCAAACTGATAGAGAAAGTGGATGAAACCACTGTTTCCCAAAGGAAGTCTCCACTGGAAAACAGTAATGAAGTTAAGATCTTTTAGGTATAGTGGCTTGGAAGGTGAAATTTGGGAAATTAAAAACCACCATCTCACTCAACATGGCATCAACCCTAGTTTAAGATGTGAAGAAAGCGATGGCTAGTCTTAAATGATATGCATCCAAGGATGTCTGTCAAAACAAGGATTGCTACCTTAAGAAGCTCTACCCAATCATTTAAACATAAATATTAAAAATACTCTTCTATAATATTACACAATACTTACGAATGATGGGCTTTGTGCAAATTCTTTGTATTGTAAAAGATCGTTAAACTTTAGACACTTTAAAAGATATAGACATGGAGAAAAAAAGCAGGAATAATAAGTAGGATATAGTTCTGGGACCCTGGATTGTAAAGATTAAAGTGCACTATTGACGTTCCATGGCTTCCTCAAATTCCATTTAGCAGAGTGCTGAATACACTGGAACAAAATCATCCCTAGTATAACCCTATTACCTTCAGCAGAGTTACACTAGAGATGATTATGGCCCAATATATTTCTCACCAGAAAACTTCTATGGAGATCTGGCATACAACACGAAGTTTCTGATTGCAAATAACACTGTAAATACCTGCAAAGCTTAGGAGTTGAGTGCACCTGGAAGCACAGCTCAAACCGCTCAGTTGTTCCCCAGAGCTCAGACAACAGTATTATTTTAAATCAGCAGAACTTCTTCCTGACTTCGGAGAGCTATCAGATTAGGGCTTGCTTTTGAATGTGCTGAAATTTGTTCGGAAGCTGTTTCCATGTTTAGTCTTGAATATTCTCTAACATTCAAGTTTACCTGTAGAACTTACACATTTTTGTCTAAGGTTCAGGAAGAATTTGAAATCTGTAGCAACTATTCTTTGATGGCTAGCAGGCAACTTCAGAACGAAATTTCAGGAGGTAAATATTTTAAGCTTCATCATGCAGTCTTCTTCAGGCAAAACTCCCAGTGAAAATCCCAAGTGGAAGTTTCATCTGAGCAAGAACTGCAGGGTCCCTCCCCAAAAGTGCAAATACACCTCAGTAATTATTTTCATGATTTTAAGGCCAGAAGGGACTATTATCAATGAATGACAAAGGCCACAGACTTTCACCGACTGATTCCTGTATCAAGCCCTTAATTTCAGATTGAGCTATATCATGTCTTTTAGAAGGGTAGCCGGTTTTAATTTAAAGATTTTAAGTGATGGAGAATCTATTATATCTGTGGGTAAGTTGTTCCAACTGTTAAAAAATGGAGCCGTATTTCTAGTCTGAGTTTGTCTAGCATCAACTGCCAGGTATGGGATCTTGTTATGCTTTTGTCTGCTAGATTAAAGACCCTTTACAATCAGAAATCTTCATGTAGGTACTTGCAGATCACAATCAAATCACAGCTTAACTGCTGCTTTCTGATAAATAGATTGAGATTATTTAGCCTCTCACTGTAAGGCAGGCTGTCCAGACCTCAAATAATTCTTGTAGCTCTTTTCTGAACACTTGCAAACTTATCAACATCCTTTTCAAAGTGTGGACACCAGAACTGGACATACTATTCAGTAATGCTCTCACTAATGCCATATACAAAGGCAGTACCCAGCTACCTACTTGATAATCTCCTTCTTGTACGTTCAAGTATCACATTTGCTTTTTTTGGCTGGGTGTGAACACTATGCTGGGAGCTCATGTTCAATGGGTTATCAACCATGAGATGTAAATCCTTTTGAGTCACTGCTTTCAAAAATACAGGGCCCACCCTCCTATCAGTAGACCTACATTCTCGGTTTCTAGGTGTATGTCCTGCATTTAGCTGTATTAAAGCCTATGTTGTCCATGCAATCCAGACTGCACTATAGAATTGACTTGTCCAAGTCATTATTTACCGCTCCAATTTTTGTACCATCTACAAACGTTATTATTTAGTACCTGCTTCAATCATCCTTTCTCAGACCGATAGCTTCTTACTCTGTGAACAGTCCCACTGAAATCAATGGGAACAGTTGCTTATATGGTAGTAATCAGTGGGTTAGATTCCTCTCTGATATATCTCTACTGAAGTACACCAGGGATTGATTTGGCCCACTATACTTAAGAGTGTAACACTGAGCCCCTAGTGGGAATACTATGGCAGAGAGAAACAGGGGAGCAAGTGACACAGAAAATAAACTGACTTTCTTGGCATGTGCTTAAGTGTGGCCCACATCATCTTAATTTTACATGAGCAGTCCTCTTAGACTAAATTCGGCAAGGTACCACTCACACCGAAATAACATGTGAAGTCCGCTTGAATGGTGAATGCTTTTGCCAGGGTTGAGTTTGGCTCCTGGACATCAATGGGACTATTTACATGTAGATGGCAAACAGCACATGGCCCTATACAGGCAACCCACTGAAATGCTAAGTCACAAAGGTTACAAAATCTTTGGCAACAATTAGTTTTGTTGAGAGGTTTGTCTGGACCTAAAAAACAGATTTCATTTTGAACAAACAAATTTAAGAACCATAAAGATGCCAAATGAAAAGTTGGATAGTAATGAAGACTGGTGTCCTGTGTTTGAGGTTTATATAAACATTATTGTTACCTAATATGGTGTACAGGTACTCTTTCGATCGACAAGAAAGCATTATCTAAGATAGATATTTGTATCCATCTCTGTAACAGTATAATTTCTTTAAGTGAATCACAGACCTGGCTTGACTTCAGGTTATGAAACAAGTTACTTATTA